CTCTGCCGAGCCCCCAGGCTCCTCTGCCGAGCCCCCAGGCTCCTCTGCCGAGCCCCCAGGCTCCTCTGCCGAGCCCGGCAATTGAGAGAGAGCACAGGGCTAGGAGGAGCCCGCCAATTGACAGAGAGCACATGGTTATGGGCATGGGGATGCTGCTGCCGCTTTGCCGCTTTGCTGCCCGGGGAGAATGCCTCCGTGGGGAGCGCTGTGCATACCCCCATGGAGAAATGTGCGACTTGTGCGGGCAGCAGGCCTTGCACCCTTGGGATGCGGCCCAGCGGGATGTGCATAGAAGGGCCTGCATTGAAGCCCATGAGAGAGATATGGAGCTCTCCTTTGCTGTGCAGCGCAGCATGGACAAAGTGTGTGGCATCTGCATGGAGGTTGTCTATGAGAAAGCCGACCCCAGGGAACGCCGCTTTGGCATCCTTTTCAGCTGCAACCACACCTTCTGTCTTAGGTGTATCCGCAGGTGGAGAAGTGCCACACAGTTTGAGAACAGGATCAGTAAGTCCTGCCCACAGTGCAGGGTCTCCTCTGGCTTTGTCATTCCTAGTGAGTTCTGGGTGGAAGAGGAAGAGGAGAAGGAGAAACTTGTTCGGCAATATAAGGAGGGAATGAGCCACAAAGCCTGCAGGTATTTTGCTGGAGGCCTAGGTCACTGCCCATTTGGAGAATTCTGTTTTTACAAGCATGAATATCCCGAGGGCTGGTTTGAGCATTTTCCGAGGCCAGATGGTGGTGGACCGTCAAACGCATACTGGCATCAAGTTTTGGAGCCCGTGCAATTGCGAGAGGGAAAAGTGCTGTTTAAAAGCCGTAAAAAGGAGCTTTCTGTACTTCGCCTTGCCAATCAGTTGCTTAAGAAGTTGCTTTGCCTGAGAGGCAGTTTTTCCTTCACTGATGACCGCTGGCTCTTTCTTCAGTACCAGCTGGAAGAATATTTCAATTTGAATCTGTAGTATCATGCTGTGGCATGTGGTCTAGTCTGCTAAGGCTCTGTTGTCTGCTGTTGCTTATTTCCCTTTACTGAATGACAAACCTATTGCTTTCAAAGGCTGTTGTGGCAATCTTTATGCAGTATTCCTGTTTTCTTCTCTATTTCCCATTTCTTCTCACTAGGATTGTGATGTTTCTCTGTGTTGCAAAATAACAAGAAATCTTAAAAGTATTGTTTGGTGGAATTAATATTTCTGTCAGCTGATGACTTGTGGTGTTTTCCCAACAGGATTCAATCACTTCTAGTCTAGTGTTTACAGTTTCTCATTGTGAAGTCCCTTAAGAGTAAATGTGACAAGGTGACAAAAGTCTTTAACTGAATTATGAGCTTTTGCTATATAGCCTTAAAAAAAATGGACCCTTACAGGGCCTTGCAGCTGCTGTCTGTGTTTGTTTACATGTCTGTTTCTTCCCTTCTCTTTCAAGTGCACTTGTTAACTTGTGGTTGCTTTGTGGTTCTGTTTTACTTGACCAAAATGAGGTGCATATGTTTACATGTTTTTATCCTGTTTGGCTTGATGTGAAATTATTTATATTTGGAAATATATATTTAAGAGTGATATATATATGCGTATATGTATACAAAGATGTACTTGAAAACGTTGGAAACAAATACCCACTATAATATATATGTTTGAAGTAATGAAATAAATGCAGACTGAAAGCCTAATGTTAAAGTCTAGATGTATGGACTGTGTGTGAATTGTGTGGATAATTTCTCTGCCCCTGCACTGATGTCAGTGATCAGCATCTAATAAAAATGACTGCTATGTGTATTGGACTCTTTTTAAAGGACTTATAAAACATGACTTTGATAATTCTTATGATAGCATTAACAGCTTCTCCATTGTTACAGTTACCAATACATGTGCCTCTGCATGTAGCCAACATCTCATTTTTCTTAACGGTGGCAATTCCTGAACTCAAATACACAGTTGTTTATGGTCATATCTTAAATACCTGGTTCTTTTTATACTTTAGAAGCAAAGGACTGTTGCTAAAATAATTTCATAATAAAAATTATAAGACCATCAGAGAAAATGATAATAAATATTGAAACAGTCAGAATATAAGAATGGAAATTAAAAAAGTGAGGCATAGGACTTTTAAAATGTTAAACATTATAATACTGGTGTCTTCTAATGCAAATAAGCCATAGTTTGACCTAAGAGCCATTTTTAAAAAAATCAAAGTTTATTTTACTTGCTTTAAATGAATCTACATTCTACTTAACATGCACAATCACAGTTAAAATGAGAAATCAGGAGGATTGGGGTAAAAGTAACTGCAGGTGCTGTCAGTGTAATAGACTGAGTTTCTAATAAACATTGCTGGAGGAGAGAAATGTGAAAGCAATAAATCATAATTGATCTCAAATATGTAACTTCATATTTTGTACTTATGTGACACAAGTTAAGCAAATGAAAAATTCAAAGAGACAGCACAGTTCAAGTGCTCAGTGGACAGTTTTACTACATCTTTTAGTAAATGAATAAATTTTTATTCAGTCACTAAACAGTACAGATTCAAGCCTCCCAATTGTGTAGAACAGAGTGCATTTTTCTTGGCTGAAGTTGCTCAAAATTATGCTATGGATCTCCATTTTCTGGTGTACACCATGTTCTGACTATGTAGCAAGTAACAAAGCCAAATTGCAGAATTTATGTTTTGTTACAAACCATACTTTGAAGTACTGGTTTGTCAGAAGGACCTTGTGTGACACTTGTAATTTTTCCTGTGTGGTGAAATAAATGAGGTAGAAAAAGTAGTTACAGCAAGAATGGAGTAAAAGTAATACATTTACAGAACACATGAAATTAGATGACTGCTGCCCCTACCCCACACATATTAAGGCTCAGAAAAAGTGTGTGGCTTAATGTGCAGCTCTTAAGCATGGATTGGTCAGCCAGGTGCAGCAGGGCATGAACAAGCTTCCACAAAATGGGACATTTTGGGGCTTCTATCTATGAGTTGCAAGACTCAGTGTTTCAGAGTCTATTGTTCACAAGTGTAGCTTAGCTTCCCATATTGTAGCATGCCCTCTCCCTTCTGATGTAATTACTGGTATTCTGAAACTGTGGTACTCTATGGGATATGGCATAATGCTTCCCTCTTAATTCCAAACAATGCATCAGTTAGGAGGCCCTGGACAGCTATTTTCTCATGGGCTCGGAGTTGGGGGTGGGTCAGATAAACCAACTAAAGAATGAGTCCAGATGGGGCACTTATGAGGACTGCTGATTGTCAGCTCTCAAGGAGTTTCCATAGTGGCTAAGATATGGTGGTGGGGGGGCTTGATTTGAGCTTTGAAAGCTCTGGAAAGTCTCTTAGTGTACACTGCACAACCTCATAAAATGACAGAATTTTATTCAATGAGCATATTGAAATAGGAAATCATAATAAATGTCAGGAGTTATAGTAGTTTTAAGGCCAGTAGAAAAATGGCATGGAAGACCGATTACAGGACAGTTGAGTCCTGATTGAGCTTCTTGCCAGCCATGCCATCTAAGTGAGTAATTTATGTCCTCTACCTCAGTTTATACATAGGAGAAATGGGTGCAGTTACCTGTTTTGTAGGATAATTGTGCAGACCAAGTGCAGTGTAGGGAAAAGGCTTGAAACATCTTTAAAAGAGCTTACCACCAAGTAGAATCTGTATGTTTATCAACCCAAGTGTCTATTACCTGAATATGAATATTTTGCTAGGTTTTTCTTTTATGAATCTTTGGAACTCAGGGTAAAAATTATTTTGAGATTATATTTGTAGGATATAGGTGTAGTACCTAACACCCTTACATAAATAGCTTCAATAGACATTTTTCCCAGCAGAAATAGTTAAAACTAAACATGTTCTATTTAATTGTCTAAGATCCCAAAACAGCAAAAGTATTTTTTTTTTGTACCAGATGCATAATGGGAAAACGACAAGATGCTTTTGAAAAATCAAAGTTCCTTTTTCCCTCATCAATTCGTTGAGAAAAAGGTCAATAACAGATGTCACAGCCACCAAAACCAAGTGAATTTTCCTCTTCTTTCCCAAGAAGGGTGTAGTTCCAGGCCTGCTGTATTGGGGAACAAAGGACCTCTTGCCACACAAAGGTCTGCTTTGTGAGGGATTCTGAACAGGCAGCCCCCACCTCAGAAGAGCTTGGGAGATCCATAAAAGAACTGTCTTTCTAGCTTCAACAGAAAGCCTAATGAAGCACATTTAATTTGCTTATGCTTCCTGAGTGTAAATTTGGGAGATGTACATAGCTACAACCATGGTAGTGAAAATTTCCAATGTTATCACTCAGTAAATATACAAAAACCATTGATTCTCACAGCTCATATCACTGATTCTACATACAAAATTTCACAGACACAAAGAAATCTTACCAGTCCCTCGTCAATTGTCTTTGATGTCCTGCTGTGTCCATGTTTGGCAATCTTAGCACCGTGGTTTCTGCTACCATAGCTTATCCCAATCTACAACTGCATGGCAATGGGGCATAGCGGAGAAAAGATATTTTCAGGAAATAATACAGTACTAGTGCCAAGAAACAATTAACTTGTCAAAAATTTTGCCATAAAAATATATGCAGCATCGATGGAATGCTGACCCAAAATAATTTACCATGTAGTGGATCACACTGAAATGGTTGGTTTAATTCAAAGTTAAGTAGGAACTGTTCTCATATGAACATCTATGAATGTTGGTACAAAACTAGAATGTGACAAGAGCATATTAGAATTAACAGGAGGGGTTGGGATGTATTTTAGGAAAATGAAGATTACAGAATAAAAGTTTTTTTTAATTAAAAGAAATAACCATACAAATAGCTTCATGCGTCTAAAGATTATTAATCAGTTTGGTAAAATAAAGTGCATGTAATGTCAATATGTGACATACATAAGTATGTATGTATGTATCTCCTTTGAATTCTGAGTTTTGTTAAATGCACATAAAATAAAAAATCAAGAGATGAAAGTAACTTAAATTATAGAAAAATTAAATGATTAAATAGGCTGCATTAAAAGTTTATAAAGTGAGTATACTACACTCCTCATCTTTATCAACAAGAAGAGCAGAAATGAAACCATATCATAACATACAGTGGAAGAATTTGCAACAGGGATTTTATTAAACATACCTGAGGATGCATTGTTCACCCACATGACAACTGAAAAGAAACCTATCCGCTAAAATTAAAAATCAAGAGATTACCCATATTTTATTTAAATTGTGTTTCTTCATAAAATCTCTAAATAATAAATTATTTTTGTTCTACCTTATGCAATTCAAAAATTAACCAATAGAAAGGATACTTTTACTCGTGTGTTATGATTGACAATTTTATATCAATAGTATCACAGTTAATAGATAAACACATAAGTGTTCAGTCTTACAAATAGTTTTGTAAAAAATAAATATTACAACCATAATAAAATATTTCGGCATTTCTATCCTTTTAATATGTTGCTACTAATCATAGCCATCTGTTTTGATTTTGATCAGGAAAAAAGGAGTTCTCTCTGTTGTCAGTAAGCATTATTTTGATGGGTAAATTTGTACAAATGCATAAAAGAACAAAATGAAACAAACCCACGTGTGGCATCTTCCAGAGAGTATGCAGCTTTCTCTCTTAATGGGTGAGGCATTGTATGTTCAAAACCCAGAATTATCTAGAAAATCATAAAAAACTAAGTAAGGCACTATGGAAATTGTATTATGAAATGTCTACTATAAAGCAGTAAATAGAAAGCAAAAGATCTGTTTTTATTGTTGGAAGGTGCAGAAATAGATATTAATATATAAATTCTACAAAAAGAAGTACTTTTCAAGAAGTTTTAATACTTAAGACATGAAGTATTCCACCCAATTTGATAGGGAAATTTGGTATTAAAATTAATTGTGTATTGAATGATATCCTATTGAAGTTCAAATAGGCCATTTGTAATTTTTAAGAAAAGGAAGAAACTTAGGGAAATCTTTGTGCTGTAGTAAACACAATTAGTAAAGTCTGAACAGTTTATAGTACTAAAAGAAAGCCACGCTTAGTGGCAAATATTAGTAATTCTTGTATTCTGGAGGCAAAGGCATAAAGATTTTGAGTTTGAAGCCTGACTGCAACATAGTAAGATTATATCTCAACAACACCAAAACACAGCTCTATATGATGGGGTGCTACTCTGGAAGTGAAACAAAAGCGTGGTTTGAGAACAAGGGGGGGGGGTGAGAGTCAGTCAGTGAATGAATCCTGACATATCATAGGACATATTGCCATGTACTCCACATATGAAGAGGAAAGTGTGGCATTCAAATTCACATATTTGTAAAATATGTGGTATGTGTGTATGTGTGTGTTCATGTATGCAGACACACACGTACCACAATGCTGACCCAAGAGTCTATATTTATCAGACTCATAAATAGACATATGTTAGATTCAAGTTTGTGATGTAGATCATTAAAACAACCTGGTGTTATTTAGTAAAGATTGAACTACAAAATCACTTAGAAAATTAGTATGTGGGCCTCGTATATTTTTAAGGTCTTACAATCAAGAACACCTTTCTAAAACATTTTGGACAGAAATCTTAACACTTAACCATACCTAGTTACAAACAAAAACTGCATGGAGCTTATGATATGCTCCTGTTTATTCTAAGGATGTATTATTTCATTTGATTTTTTCCAGTCGCCCTCACATGTAAATTCCATTATTAATGGCTTGCAGCCATTGGGAAAACTGGGACTTAGGGAGGTTGAGATTTCTACAGCCACAGCGCAG